GTCCATTGAATATGTAAACAAAACAGAATTTACTGTATAGAACAATATTGAATTAGTCATCTATATCTATATAGAAATATGTACATGTATAATCAAAAGTTTTCTATCATGACTACAACAGTAACAATGATCATAATGATGTACTTTCACGTACTAAACACTTCCTTCCCCCTTCTCTCTCTTTCTCTCTCTAACTCCCCTGGGAAGTAGGTGAACAAATGATCATCATCCTCCTCCTCCTCCTCATCATCATCAGCAACATCAAAGAATCCCTATCATAATAACACTGATAACGAAAATAAAATAAAGGAAAATATAGGGAGGATAAAGAACATGTGACCAAAAAACAAAACAAAAAGGGGAATAAATTTCTCTTTATCCAGGTTATCATTCATCACATGATTGAATGACTAATAGAATAGTTCGTTGAATGATGATTTTATTATTTCAATGGTAATTTTATGGTTGTTATTATTGTTTTGAACATGTTCAATTTGTAATGTTAAGGTATCTTGCAAAATCTGTGAACACTAGACGGTCCTTTTATCCTAGTATGAGACTACTCATTAGTGTACATCTACGATCTCATATAAGGGACTCGAACCCAGGACATATCGGTCTCACATGTAAACGCTTCATCTGTAGACCACTCAGTCAACATTCAACGATGTTCATGTCTAACTCCAACCAATCTACGATATTACACAACCATCCAACATTGTCTTCACTCAGTCTCACAATCGACATGGATGGGACTCAACGGTGCACGACTACTCACTTCGACAATCACCTCATTAAGTTAGTCCGTAGTGATCAAATATGTGAGATATTGTGAAAATTCTGAGATATCATTGTCATTAATAGTGAAGTAATAAATATCTCCTTCATCATATTGTATGGTTTGATAAAGTGTATGAATTATTGAAGGAAGTAGGATAATAGTTGTGTGAAGTGTGTAAAAATACGGTATATATACATATCAGAATGGTGGTTTGTGAATATTGTAGTGGTTTTACTAGTAGAATTCATGAGTGAATCTAAGATTACCATTGAGAACGTGAATGAACTGGACGGTCGTTTCGTCCTTGTATGGGACTCGTTAGAATTACGCACCCGTGATCTCATACTGAAGGGACTCGAAACTAGTACCTTCGATTTCATATGCGAACGCTTAATCAATAGACCACTGAGCTGACATCCAGCGTTTTTATGTATAACTTCAACCAATTTGTATGTTAATATCACAGATTGACTACAATAAAAGAAACTTTTAGAACTAAAATATGCTGGATATCTATGTTCGTTCTGATATGAAACTCTTCCATAATGCACAACCACAACATGATCAAGAATTAAACCTAGTAAATTCAGTCCTTGAATCAATTGCTTTACTTTCAGACGAATGAGTTGAAATCCAATCCAACTGGAAATTGCGGGCATTATATATTGAGATTAAATGGTGGTTGGAGTTAGTCGACAGGAAACCATGGATCACCACTCAGTGATCAATCAATTGTGATTACATCTCAGTCTTACAGGAGGTCAGTCGCGGCCTGGATAGCTCAGTGGTAACGTCTTTAACTGTGAAGCTGGATGACACGAGATCGAATCCACCAGGGAGCACCAGTTCCCTCAAGATTACAGGTACACCTCACTGACGAGTGCCAAGTAGCACAAAACCCGGATCCAGGGTTTCTTGTCGACTACCTCCAACCACAATACAATCAACTAATCTCCTTTTTTAATGATATCAATCGATGATGTAATCAAACTAGAAATATATTTCAGTACAGGGTTATGAAGATCATTAAGTTTTTAATTGAGATCAAAAACTTATTGATGTTAGACCATTATCAAAAACCTGGAAGCACTGGACGGTCATTGATTCTCATTGGTCTAGAGGTTAAGCGTTCACCCACAAGACTGATAAGTCTTGTTTTACAATCTTGCGAGGTGAGATCGTGGATACACACTGCCACTGAGAAGTCCCACAATAAGACGAAACAGTCTTTCAGTGCTTCTAGGTTTTTAATAGTTGTCTAACATCAATCGGTTCATGATCTCAACTATAAAAATATATTTGTCCAATTATCTCTTCAATAGGATCAATTCAGTCAAAATGAGAATACTATAGAGATATTCAAATTGATCAAATGAAAGAATTAACATTCATTAACTGTTGAATTGGAATTCACATTTTCAGTAAATATCATCATGTTCATTATATTTGTGTGTGAGCTGTGATACTGCCCAGGTGCTCAAACCGAAGCAGGTGGTTTCCTTAGGGAGCCACACCCCGAGCCTTTGACCTGAAGGTCTGATCCACAAGGCAGTAGAGCATTGGGAGGAGATGCAGTCCCATGGTAGCCGGTCACCAACGATTGGTTCATACGCCATTTGTTCCCTCAGGATACTGGAGCCCATATGCACCATTGGTTTGGGATCCGATTAAAGCGCCGGACATTCGCTTTTCGTCGTCTTAACTTCGCAAACAACACCCGTGGTGCGAGAAGTCAGTGAGTAGGACTTCCCTGGCAGAGACTGTATATATGTGGCCGTGTGAGAGCATTTGGCCATACCAGGGTATTTGGGGGCAAAGTTTGTGATGGAGGTGGGATTCGAACCCATACTTTTTTGGACTAGAATTCACAGATAATTCTATTATTTCACATAGTAACTACAATAGAATATTAAAACAATTTCATTGTCTCTTAGCAACAATATCACTATTCTCTTTAATAGATATTGAATTCTTCAAATGTATCATATCGGGTAAAATGTATTTTATAAATCATAAATGTAAAGAGTAATTTTTATAACTTGAATAAACAAGAAAGAATGAAACTAATCATGAATAGGTTGTATGTGTAAATTTGTCAGATGTTGATGATGGACAGTTGTTAAGAATAATGAAACAGTAAAGTGTAAATGGACAAATTGATTTACCATGTATTTTAACATACTCTATATTGATATATACATAGAATAACTTGGGTATATCTGTTTTATTCATTTTTCAGTAAATATCATTATTGATAGAATATATATGTATTGTGGATTGGTTGAAGTTAGACATTAACACTGTTGGATATGGCCTAGGAACGGCTGAGAGTAGGAAGAGTCAGTTCTCCGTTTGAAAATGCTCTGAAGTGACCATGTGCATACAATCACTACCAGGGAAATCCTAATCACTGTCTTCTCGTGGTATTGCTGTTGTTTACGAAATTGAAAGGATGAGAAGCGAATATACGGCGCTTTAGCCTGGTCAGTGGATACGGAGGGTCCACCTAGAGGAGTTGGCAAACCCTCATTCCAAACCAATGGTTTACATGGGCACCAGGATCCTGTTGGAAGAAATGGCGTATGAACCAATTGTTGATAACCGGCTAACATGGGTCTGCTCTCCTTATGTTGCTCCACTGCCTTGTAGATTAGTCTATTATATCGAAGACTGTAGGTGTGGCTCTCTAAGAAAGCCACCTGCTTCGATCTGGGCACCTGAACAGTATACCAGCCCTGACACAGACTGAATGATTTATGTGATGAATATCTATTTCGGTGCTTCCTTGTACCAATGTTTATGTTTTCAAATAAATAAATGAATACAATGATCTAGAGGTTAAGCGTTCACCCGCTAGATTGAAGGTCTTGAGATAAGTCCTTTTTGTGTAAGATCGTGCATACACATTACTAAAGAGTCTTATATTAAGACAAGACAACCAACTAATAGTTTCATATTTTCAATAATGATCTAGCTTTAAATCGATTTATGAATTCAACTATTAAATTACTATAATCTCTACAAAACTCCCTTATATCATAATTCATTTAAATTGTGATAGTTAAATGAACTTACACTAACATAAAGATAATCTGAACAGTTGAGATCATGAGTTAATTGAAGCTAGATCACCATGAAAAACCTGGAAGCACTGGACGGCCGTTTCGTCATATCGTGGGACTCCCCAGCAGTGCGCATCCACGATCCCGCCTCGTGGGACTCAAACCTAGTACCTATAAGTCTCGCGCCATGCGCTTAACGAATTTGACCACTGAGCTGACTGGCCGGGCATCCAACGGTGTTAATGTCTAACTTCAACCAATCCACGGAATTACGCCGCCGTCCATCATTGTCTTCAGTGAGTAACCGCAATAAGAGAATACAAATAAACAATACTAGGTGAATTTAAATTCACCCCATTGCACAAGCAAACGGCTATCAGGACTCAGTAGCTAAGTGGATAATGCGATGGCGTTTGAAGCGAATGGTACTGGGTTCGAGTCTCAGAGTAAACATCAACGAATCTGCGATGCAGGTACATCCAGCTGAAGAGTCCGAAATAGGACGAAACGCGCGTCAAACTGGATTCCACTGCTAGCCACTATCCATCATTGCTTAGGAAAGATGGTATATTCATATAGATGTATATTAGAATAAGAATAACTACAGACAATAGGATAATTTCACAGATTGAAATCATGAGTCAATTGAAGCTAGACAACCATCGAAAACTTGGAAGCATTGGACGGCTGTTTCGTCCCAGTATGGAACTCCTCTTCAGTGCGCATCCACGATCCTGCCTACCGCGAGATTCGAACCCAGGATCTATCAGTCTCGCGCCAGGCGCTTAACCTACTAAACCACTGAGCCGACTGGCATCCAACGGTGTTAATGTGTAACTTCGATCAATCCACGAATTTCCGCCACCGCACACCATTGTCTTCAGTGAGTTGATATCTCACAACAGACATGGTTGAACTCCCACTGGTAACGATTTCTCACTCGTGCTTCCAAGTTTTCCATAGTGGTCTAGTTCCAATTGATTCATGATTTCAATCTGTGAAATTTCTAAAAAAAAAATCTCCACAAACCCCTTTCTGATCATAGGATAATAGATAAAGAAACTTTATCTTTCTACATAGAAAGGTCAAAGTTCATTCCATTTCTATAAACAATAATCATCATTATCTACAATGTAATCTGTTTTAAACTTTGGCAGATTGTAAGACTATTCTATCATCATCATCATCATCATCATCATCATCATCATCATCATCATCATCATCATCATCATCATCATCATCATCATCATCATCATCATCATCATCATCATCATCATCATCATCATCATCATCATCATCATCATCATCATCATCATCATCATCATCATCATCATCATCATCATCATCATCATCATCATCATCATCATCATCATCATCATCATCATCATCATCATCATCATCATCATCATCATCATCATCATCATCATCATCATCATCATCATCATCATCATCATCATCATCATCATCATCATCATCATCATCATCATCATCATCATCATCATCATCATCATCATCATCATCATCATCATCATCATCATCATCATCATCATCATCATCATCATCATCATCATCATCATCATCATCATCATCATCATCATCATCATCATCATCATCATCATCATCATCATCATCATCATCATCATCATCATCATCATCATCATCATCATCATCATCATCATCATCATCATCATCATCATCATCATCATCATCATCATCATCATCATCATCATCATCATCATCATCATCATCATCATCATCATCATCATAATCATAATCCATTGTCATCATGTAATGAAAACAATTAGAATTGAATGATTGTCACGTTTTTCTTCTCTTCTCTTTTCTTTTCTTTTCTTTTCTTTATAATGAATAAGAATAGAGGTAAATGAAATATAGAACAAGCAATTAATCCTTAGTTAATTGTAGTAACCATTCTTATTCTATGAATAATCCATGCATAAAATTACATTCATACAGAATTCATAGAAGAAAAAAGAAAAAGAAGAAAAAGAAGAAGCAAAAGAAGAAGAAAAGAAGAAAAAGAAAAGAAGAAAAAGAAAAGAAAGAAAGAAGGAAAGAAGACATCCTTTCATGAATGATGCAAACAACTAGTATACACTTATAAATAGGAATAGTTTAAGCAAGGAGAAGAAACAACAACAAGAACAACAACAACAAAGAACAAATAAACAACACAATAGTCATCCATATAGAGTTAATAGTTCATATCAGTTCACATATATAATTATTATTAATGTATAATCTAATGGATGACCTCATTATAATTAAACTATATCAATTATGTATTTAGTTGTATACAATTGATTATCTTTAAGATATCCATTTGATATTGTTTAGTTAAATCTGTTTTATGAATGTTTAGGCTTAGAATTGATCAATCCTTTTTTATAGGTATATGTGCATCTTGTATGACTTCAGTCCAATGGACGAAGAAATCAAGAAGAAACACTGGAAATGTATAGGATACATATTGAGGAAAGCATTTAACTGCGTCACAAAACAAGCCCTCATATGGAATCGTCAAGGCCAATGGGGGGGGGGTTGAAGAAGAAGACCAAAGAACACATTACGCCGAGAAATGGAGATAGACATGAGAAAAATGAACAAGAATTGGATGGAATTAGAAAAGAAGGCGGAGGACGGAATGGGCTGGAGAATGCTGGTCGACAGCCTATACTTCATTAGGAGTAACAGGCGTAAGCTAAGCTTACAAGTGTGACTTCAGTCATAAGTGTTATAAGTAAAGATGAATGATAGCTAATAGTGGAATCCAGGATACAACGTTGCGTCCTATTACAGATTCATCAAACAGATATACCTACATTCCAGAGTGGATGTTCATTCTAGGACTCGAATCCAGTATTATTCGTTTCAAATGCTATCACGTGATCTACTTAGCTACTGAGTCTTGATAATCACTTGAATTTTCCCATTAATGTTTAGGACTGTAGTTGATCACTCTCATACTGGCATATGTGCATTCTGTATGTATTGCCTTGATATTGACTTCAGTCATAAGTATTATAAACAAAAATGAATGATGGCTAACAGTGGAATATAGGACCCAAGTTTTGTCCTGATTGGGACTCGTCAGCTGGATGTATCTTCATCTCAGAGATGATGTTCATTCTAGGACTCGGACCCAGTATTGTACGCTTCAAATGCTATCACGTGGTCCACTTAGCTACTGAGTCTTGATAATCACTGGCTTGTATTGTTTACTTAAATTTTTTTATTTGATAGAGAATTATTCTCTGAGCTGGATGGTTTGGTCGTGGAGTTTTCATCGTCCTTTTGAATGACATCACCAGCACAAACTTCGAGTAGAAGCTCCACGACCAAACTATCCAGATCAGAGAATGAAATTCCATCAAAATCATCCGCCTGAGCTACAAACCTTCTCCACCATCACAATACTGTTTATTTTGTATAAACAATTTCATAGACTTGAAGTCAATTATTAATCACATTACTATCACTACATACAAATTAGTTACTAATCCATGAATCTTACAAATTCTTGACTATATAACATGTTGATTCTTGTCCATCATAACCATCAACTTGTTACATTTTTGTTTTTGTTGTTGTTTAATTCGTGTCTGTTTGAATATCATCCTGATTATCCATACTCCTTCAACATTTAGCATGTTCGAGCATTTTTTTTCTGTCTATTTAGTTGGTCAGTTCTGTATGTAAGAGTGAAATTTCTACAGAGAATTCCATTTGAATGGTTAAGATCATGAGTCAGTTGAAGCTAGACCACCATGGAAAACCTGGAAGCACTGGAAGGCTGTTTCGTCCTATTGTGGGACTCCTCAGTGGAAGTGCGTATCCACGACCTCGCTCCCTGCTAGATTCGAACCCAGAACCCAAGACTTACTGGTTTCGTGCACGAGCACTTAATCACTAGACCACTGAGTTGGCTGGCGTCCAACGGTATCAATGTCTGAATTCAACTAATCCACGAAATTGAGCGACAAATTCATCATTGTCTTCAGTGAGTTGAATCATCTCCTCTTATTCAATACAATACATGATCGATGAAAGTTAGACATTAACCTCGTTGAATTCAGGCTTATTGATCTAAAGTTTAAACATTCACTTGTGTGACCGACAGTCCTGAGTTCGAATCCTACCCTACAGAATTATAGATGCACATTGTTGATGAGTCTTATACTAAGATGAAACTGTTATCCAGTGCTTCTAAGTTTTCATTGGCAATCCTAACATCAATCAATTTCTTGATCTTCATAACCCAAGACAGATGTTATTCTCTGGTTTTGCATATATATCTATAAATGTTAACAACTTTTATGACCCCTGTGGTGATTTTTTTCTTCTTCTTAAATTTCATTAAGAGGTTAAGTTTTCACAAATTACACATACCATGTTAAGTATGTTATAGGTTACAGTAGTTTCCTTGTTATCTACGTAAGTATAGAGGTTAAAAACAACTTTATTACTATGACATAATATTTAATCGAATTATAATTTTAGTAAAAGACTAATCGACGGAACAGTTTGAATAATGTTTCTTTTTTATCCTTCCCCTCCCTCTTTCCCTTCTTCTTCTTCTTCCTCCTCCTCCTCCCTCTTCTTCTTCTTCTTCCTCATCCTCCTCCCTCCTTCTTCTTCCTCCTCCTTGTTCTTCTTCTTATGATTAAAGTACAAACGTTTCTTGACCAGTTCAATTAAATATAAATAGATTGAATAATTATATAACTGTGTAGATGTAATTTGTTTATCTGGTTAGCGTTTGTTTGTTTGGTTGGTTGGTTTGTTTTTCATAGTAAGGTTGTTTTCTACGGAATAAGGTTGCTAACTCTATGTCCAAACCTCTTCTTTTACCCGAGTTTGAAACCAGTAGTAACCCTAGAAGAGCTACAGTGTAGTTAATGTTTTTTTTTAAACTTGGATCGGATAACATCAGCAATACCATCCACCTTTCGATTAATAGCCGAATGCGCTAACCGGTTGTGCTATGGAGGCGCCCACCCCAGGGGCGATTCTCACTTTACCCTCAAATGCCCTGGTACGGCCGAGAGTGCGGAGAGTTAACTCTCCCTCTCGAAATGCTCTCACATAGTCACGTACATACAACCACTGATAGGGAAGTCCTACTCACTGCCATCTTGCGGCATTACTGTTGTTTACTAAATTGAGAGGATGAAAAGCGAATGTCCAGCGTTTTAGTCCGGTTGCTTGACACGGCAGGTTCATCTAGGGAAGTTGGAAAACCCTGATTCCAAATCAATGGGAACAAATGGAGTATGAACCAATTGTTGGTCGCCGGCTACCAGAGAACTTCATCTCCTGACATTGCTCCACTGCCTTGTGAATCAGACCTTCAGGTCGAAGGCTCTGGACGTGACCCCTAAAAAAATCACCTGCTTCGGTTTTGTCACAAATCTCATTTGATTTGTGTGACGCATATGTATTTGGTGCCTACTTGTACCAATATCTTTGTGTTAAAATAAATAAATTATAAATAATCAGCAATAGTCTGATGTGGGAAAGAATAAACCAACTTTTAGTTGAAAAGGAAATTAGGAAAAAGACAATGGAATCGGATATGATCCACATTGAAGAAATCATCAAACTGAATCATGAGGTGAGCGCTAAGTTGGAATCCTGAAGGGAATCGGAAAGGAGAAAGGTCAAAGAATACACTACGTTTGGAATTGGAAGCAGACACCAAAAGGATGAATCACAACTGGAAAAATCTGGAAAAGGTTGTCCAGAAGAGATTATAAACAGAGGTGGTTAGTAACTAGCAATAGTATCTAGGACACACGTTTCGTCTTATTCGGGACTCATCAACTGGATATACTGCCAGATGAAAAGTCAAAAATAAAGGAAAGTTAGAGATTGAGATGAAATCTTCTGTGAAAATTATGATCTTTTATTTGGCGTATACTGACTAAATGAACAGAAGAATGCTACTAAGTAAAGATGGATAGTGACTAGCAGTAGAATCCAGGATATGCGTTTCGTCCTATTTGAGACTCATCAGCTGGATGTACCTACACCTCAGAGTTGATGTTCACTTTGCAACTAGATATTGGACATTAGTTGACAATTGTAAGGAAGATGCTCTACAAATTGACTGATATGTATTCCCATTTGTATATAGGATACATAGAAATAAACATGATTACGACTGATTTAAGAAGTGATTAACTGAGTGACATCTATCTTGTAGACGATTCACCTAACAATAGAACAGACATTTGATTCAAATGTACTAACCGTATTAGTGAACAAGTTATAAAACTAAGTTGTTGATAATAAAATATATACAATGGTTTTGCCCATACATTCCCATGGTTTCTGATTCGTGAGAATCCCACATTAATCGTTCTTTCAATTGGCCTATCTAAAGCCTTTGTTATCCAAACACATACAACTTATATGTATATAATGAGATTTCAGTTGTGTCTGTGGTATTTATCCATGGTTCTAGATCCAACATCCTATCAAAATGTTTGTTGATTGTTTTTAGTTTAGTAGATGATAAGAGTTGAGGATTTCAATACTACGACGAAACGGTCATCCAGTGCTTCTACGTTTTCTATGGTAGTCTAGCTTTAATCAACTCGTGAATCACTACAATATCCAAAAAAAACCCCTTTCTGTTGTGAGATATCAACTCACTGAAGACATCGGTGTACGATGACACAACTTCGTGGATTGGTTGAAGTTAGACATTAACACCGTTGGATGCAGGTCGGCTCAGTGGTCTAG